GCCGCGTCTCCTTCCCCCTCTGCCACCTCCCCGGCCTTGGTGCTAACGCGGGTCAGGCTCTGCAGGCCCTCGGGAAGGAGGAGATGCCTCCCCGGGAGGATCCGCAGCCAACCCTGCGCCCCAGCCCCAGCACGGGGCACAGCAGCCCCATCGCCCAGCAGTGAGCTCTGCCCCAAAGGCCAAATTCCTCCCCAGTTAGGCAAGGTGCAAAGCTCGGGGCAGCCCAGCCCTGGCACATCCCCGCCAAGGCGCTGGTGCTGCCCCAGACCTGTGCAGGGACAGGTGCCAGCCCCGTCGGGCGGGCAGGGGTGAGCGCACGCAGGGCAGGGCATTTCGGATGTTTGCAGGTGTTGGGGATGGCTGGAGCATGGGTTCAGGGGGGGTGTGGAGCACCAGGCAGTGTCCCGGGTGAGCCCCCTCCAAGAGGAGATATCTGGAGCCAACATCAGGGCAGCAGCAGAAGTGAGTGGCTCAGGAATGACCTTTGGGGAGGTTTCTCCCATCCCACAGCCCAAAGGCACGGCACCGAACCTGGGGACGTTGCCACCAGGCACCAGCTACGCGCCACGCTGCCCGCACTTTGTCCTGCCCCAGAAATGCAGCGGGTTATTGCCCTCGCTTGGCTGCCTTCCCGGGTGTTCCTGTCCGACTGAATTGGGTTTTGCAGCGGACGGGCACCTCCGCGCACCATGCGCAACAGCCTGCAGCTGCACGGCACCAGAGGGGCCCTGCTACCGCTGCTGCAGAGGGGCTGACACTGCTGCAGGGGGGTCACTGCCTTTCTGGCCAAGCCCCGCTTCTCCGGGCAGGGGCAGAGATGCTCTTCCTGGGGCAGAGATGCTCTGCAGTGGGGGTCTGCCTGGTGGCAGCTCTTTTTGGCCCAAACCAACCCAGGATGGTGTTGCAGGCTGCCCCCGGGCTCACCCCAGAACCCTTAAACCCTTAAAGCCCTTGAACCCTTAAAGCATCCTTCCCCGTGGTCCTGACGGTGGGATTAAAGCGGTGGTGTCCAGGTAGGCAACGCTGGACCTGGAATCCCGCCAGCACCCGTGTTTGCTGTCCTGGAGAGCACAGCCCCCATGCACCGTCACACTGTCCCTCCCCAGCCCCGCATGTTCCTGACCTCCGTCCAGGAGAAGCGAGCAGTGCCTGGGTGCCTGGGGAAGGGGTTGCATGTGTCTGCAGCAGGGACCCACCTCCTCCGTTGCGGTAACACAGGTAAGGAAAGCGCCAGACGTTGCCCAGCCCCACGCAGTAGCCCAGGCAGGACAGCAGGAACTCGTATTTGCCAGCCCAGGTCTCCCGAGGTGGGCTGGGGGCCAGGATCTCAGGCTGGAGTTGGGGTCCTGGCCAGGGCTGGCTGGTGGGGTCAGTGGTGGGACCCTCCATCTGGAAGATGTTGACCTGTGGAGGGGGAGCAAAGCATCAGGAACCGCTGGCTGCAGCCTGCAAACCCCGCAAGGCTCCTGGGAAGAGCTGGGCACAGCCAAGCTCTCCCTGAAAAAGCATCTGGTTCCCAAAGGGGCTTTGGAGGGGGGGGGTCTCCCTGAAACCTGCCCTGCCAGAGCCTGTGGTGGCCTGTGCTGTGGGACGTGGGAGGCTTGGGCTGGCCCACAGCTCCGTGCCTCTCCCCAGGCTCCAGCTCAAAAGCCCTGGGCGTGTTTGATCCAGCAGATCCTCCCATAACCTGAAAGTCAGCAGCTGGAATTCAGCCACTCCCGTGATGAGTTTTTATCTCTGCTCTCTACATGCACCCAGGACTATCTGAACACAGGGACTGCCAGGAACGGCACCCCAGCATCCAGCCCTGCACCAGGCAGATGAGGGTGCAGGGATGCTTGCCACTGCTTGATGCACTGCTCATCAAAGCCCTCCTGCCCAGCCCCTCCGAGGCCAGCGGGGCCATCACCGGCTCCCACCTTTGCCGGGGTCTTGCCCATGTGCCCGGCCAGGGGACCCCTGAGCAAGGGCTAGAGTCATTGGCTCATGCTGTGCCAGGGCAAAGCGGTGCTGGACTGTCCTGGTTTTGGCTGGGATGGAGTTAATTTTCTTCCCAGTAGCGGGCATAGTGCTGTGTTTTGCATTTAGGATAAGAAGAATGCTGATAACACACTGATGGTGTAGTTGTTGCTGAGCAGTGCTGACACCAGGCAAGGACTTTTCAGCTTCCCAGGCTCTGCCAGGGGCACAGGAAGCTGGGAGGGGGCAGAGCCAGGACAGCTGCCCCCAGCTGCCCAAAGGGCCATTCCATACCATACGGCGTCATGCTCAGTCTATAAGCCGCGGGGAGTTGGCCGGGGGGAGCGATCGCTGCTCGGGGACTGGCTGGGCATGGGTCGGCGGGTGGTGAGCAATTGCATTGGGCATCACTTGCTTTCTCTAGTATTATTACTATTATTCTATTGTTATTATTATCATTACCATTTTACTTTATTTCAATTATTAACCTGTTCTTATCTCACCCCAGGAGTGTTTCTCACTCCTACTCCTCCGATTCTCTCCCCCATCCCACCGGGGCAGGGGGAGCGAGCGAGCGGCTGTGTGGTGCTGAGCTGCTGCCTGGGGTTAAACCCCGACATGGATGCAGGGAGGAGAGACCTGTTGCTGTGCACCCCGTGCAGAGCATTGCTCGGTGCGGGCAGAGGTGGGGGACCTGCAGGGTGATGGGGGCTCGCACCTCTCACCAGCCCCGCACCCCGCACCCTGGCCCTGCCGGCACCTCTGCTGAAGGGGGAACGCATGCGGTGGGGCGAGAGGGAACAGGGATTTGTGCCTCATTCCTTATCGTGAGTTACTGCCCCAACCACTCCCGCAGCCGGCCAGCGGCTCGGCAGGGCCTCAGGGCTCGTAGAGGCTGTAGGATAGCTGCTCTGCTCCCAGGGCACGGCCGGCAGTGCCTCAGGGAGCTGCAAGGTCACGGCAAGGTTTGGGGCTGTGATCCCTTCCAGCAGCACCTTGGGCACAGGTCCTGCCACCCTAGGAAGGATGGAGGGACCCTCCCAAATCGGCCCGCAGAGGTTGCTCCAGCCACGCAGTCCTTCCCTGGAGGTCCCCTCTGCTACCGGGGCTGCAGCTTTGCCCCGGTCCCACCAGGACAGATCCCTCCCCAGCAAGGTTGAGACCACCAGGAGAGAAGGGGATCAACCAGGGGCTCTAGCAGTGTGATGAGAAGTCTGGAGAAGAGGAGGCTGAGGGGACACCTTATCGCTCTCTACAACTACCTGACAGGAGGGTGCAGTGAGGTGTGTGTTGGTCTCTTCTCCCAGGTAGTTAGCGATAGGATGAGAGGAAATGGGCTCAAGCTGCACCAGGAGAGGTTTAGATTGGATATTAGGAGAAATTTCTTCATGGAAAGGGTAGTCAAGCATTGGACCAGGCTGCCCAGAGAGGTGGGGGAGGCCCCATCCCTGGAGGGGTTCAAAAAATGGGCAGAGGTGGCACTTTGGGACATGGTTTAGTGGGCATGGGGGTGTTGGGTTGATGCTTGGACTGATGATCTTAGAGATCCTTTCCAACCTTAGTGATACCTAGTTTTTACTTTCATTATAAATAATCCAGCCACCAAGACAGGAAACATGAAATTGCTACTCTACCCTGAATTGGTTTAGTGGTGGACTTGGTAATGTTACGTTACTGGTTGGACTGGATGATCTTAAAGGTCTTTTCCAACCTAAACGATTCTATGATTCTATCATACTTGGGGATGTTGCTGCATGGGGAATTTCTTTTAAGTATCAGTGTCACAACAGAGGCAAACGGTCGTTCTCAGCCCAACTGTGCACAGCCCGCGGGGGACAGAGCATGGGGCCTTGGGAGCGTGCGGCTCTCATCCCAGCCCTGCCTCTGCCAGCCCCGCACTGCTGGGACTTGGGTCCCCCACCTGTGGGACCCTGCGGGGGAAGCACCGCTCAAGGCCGAGGAGCATCGCTCAGTGACCAAGCAGCGTTATGATTCACAGCCCACAAAGCTGAGATCGGAGCTGACCCCATGCGCGATGCAAGCCAAAGGCTGGACTGCCCAGCCTTCGCTCCCGCTGGAGCGCGAGTGTTAATTTTAGAAAAGGATCCAGTTTT